TTAAGTCAAAGTAAGCAAATCTTATAATAACTCACTTAATATATAAGATCAAGTTAAAATAAGCAAATCTATAATAAATAAGATATTACCTGATTTTATTATACCTATATTTTCATCAAACTATGATTATTTATCTTTGAAATTTGATAACTTTTACTATGTATTACAAAAGAAGATTTTTCAATTAATAATTTTGAAATGAATTTTTTTGTGAATATTAATAATATTAAAAATATATAGTAATAGTTTACTAAATTCAAGGAATTATTGAGGATAATAATATCTAAAACAAAAGATTATCAAGTTACAGAAAAAAATTATTTTTCAGAAATTATATCATTATATTTATAGTAATAAAGTAAGTTAAAAATAGGAAAATTCTATATCAAAAAGATCATATTCATCATGAGCCAGAAATACTAAATGTATAATAACTATATATCTTTGACTTGAATACTAATATCTTTAAATAACTCATCTACTTGAAGTTAATATTAAATTTACTTATAATTATATCATTTATTTTGCAAAATCTCTCAGATTTCAGTAAGTTAAAGATAATATTTATGACAAATATATAACTATTTTATAATAAATATTTATTAGTATTAATTATATATACTTATGAAAATAATTTGTATTTAAGTACAAATACTAATCATGAACTCATATAACTTTTGGCTAATTATATATATAATTTTGATTATGACTTTGTTTTAAACTTATTTAAATAATACTATAATAAATAACTTAGAAAAAAGAATAGCATATTAATATTTCAAAGACTTATAGATGAAATTAGTACTTATAATAATTCTGAATTTGATTATATTATACTTCAAATATATAATTCAAGTTTAGAATAAGTTCTTATTCTTTATATAGTAATAAATTTAATATATCAGATTTATAAAAAAATTTGACAAGTAAAAGAGCTTTGTTATATAAATATATTAGCTTTCTTTAAGTTACTAAATATATTAATTACTTTATTTTATACAAATTATATAGCAAGTATACTATCTCTCAGTCTTTTTGTACTATCTAATAAACTAGAAATTACTCTTAAGAAGAGAATAAATATACTAAAAATTCATCTTTCACAATATACTTTCTTTAATTATAATTCTAATATTGATCTAATAGTCTTTTTAACAGGTAATTCAAGTACAAAATAAAATATATTAGAGATTTGTTAGCCAAAATTTTATAATTTCTATACACTTTTCATATTCTTTAAGTATTTTGATATTAATTACATCATGTAAAATACTATATTAATAAAGATTATTATATATCTATTATAAAAATAATAAAGAAAATTCTATATATAAAAATAGAAATTGAAATATTAAAGTATTATCATAATTTAAAAGCTAATTATTATTCTATATATTTATTGTTATAAAGGTATTTTAAGCTATTTTGAAATTGATGACAATTTTAAGCAATATTATTTCATTCTGGTCTTCTTCTATATGGTAATAATACAAATAACTATATAGAGTATAGCTTTAAATTACTTAAAAATATTATATTTTCATGTATTCAAGCATATAATATCATTTAAGTATTTCACTTTATAATTATAAATATGGATCACTTTTATGAATATTATTTACTAGGAATTATAAATAAATATTTTGGTTATCTTCAAATTACTAAGTAATTTATATTCAGATTGGATGATAATTAATATATTAGAGATTCAATAAATGAAAGTATATATTAAATATCTAATTCCAAGTTAACAGAAGAATTCTGAATTGTTTTATACTGTTAATATGAAGATTAGTATATATGCTTATCCTATTGGATTATCTAGAATATCATATAAGTATCAAGATGCTATGATTATAAAATTTCATATTGAATTATTAAACTTTATTTCATCTTTAACTTCTGATAATTATTTAATTACATATATATTATGTATGATAAGTTCTAGTTACTTTTTTTCTTTTATTTATCTAAATCTAATACTTTTTTTAGAAATTATTTCTGAGAATTACTCCTTTTATACATTATTATATTCTTAATATGATAAGTTTAGTTTTTTTATTTTTATCTAACTTAATAATTTTTTAGGAATTATTTTTGAGAATTATTTTTTTTATATATTATTATATACATATACTTTATTAATTATAATTTAAATCTAATTATTACTTATAAAGTTTAAAATAAAGTCCAAAACTCTCATAAAGTCCAAAATGAAGTTTAAAACTCTCACAAAATCCAAAACTTTCATGAAGTCCAAAACTTTCATGAAGTTCAAAACTCTCACAAAGTTCAAAATTCTCATGATATTCAAAACTCTCATAATGTTATCCAAAAGTTACAATCTAATAAGATAGCTTTGAAGAATAAATATATTTACTTTAAGTTCATTTTTTATTTATTATTTTAATTAATTATTTTTTTTAATTAGATTTGATGCAGTATATGAAAATGATTTTGCATCTTTTGAATCATTTATTGAGATAATTAAAAATGATCACAAGAATAATAATTCAAATCTTTCTATTACTTTTAATAAGTTTGCCAAGTGATACAATGCAGCAAAAGTCATATCCAATTCATGATTAATATCTTTTTTCTATAATGTTAATCATGATATTGATTCTCATGCTCATGTTAAAAAGTGATGCAAAAATTCACATGCAGGTTAAATTAGTAAAATGCCAAAAAATAGCAGCAGTATAAAAAGAAGACTTTCTGATTATATGGAAAAAGAAAATAGTAATTCATTTGCTATTTTAGCATGGAAGGTTTGGAAATTTAATAAAAAAGAACATAATCTAGATCAAAACATTGATAAAAATCAATTGAATTAATGGATTTATGTAATATATTAGATTTTGTATTGGCTTCTTATTGTTATTATTTGACTATTGTCTCATTAAAATAGTTCATTTGCAAATATGTAGAATGAATTATTTGCATGATATTAATATACTTAATTGTTTAATAATTAATCTGATTAATTATATCTTCATTAACAATGATCTCTTTGTTAACAAAGATCTTTTCATTAATAATGGCATTAATTATTTTACAATTGATCAATACAAATGTATAGATTTATATTTAGCATCTCTAAACTAATAATCCCCCTCCCTTTTTGCCAATTCAACATTATTAACCATAACCTGGCAAATTCAGAAATGTTTGTATTGCATGAGCATTATGGGATTCGCTTATTTTGGCTTGAAGTGTGTTGAGCGAGTTATTGTGGTAACACTCCTTGACAAGAACGTGACATTGGGTGGCACTTTAAACGTTCTTAACCTCACAAACAATACATTATTCAATATGACCTTAATGAACACTTACCATTTCTCGTGTTTAATTTTATGCTGAAAAACGATTGGCCAATATATACATATATACAAAATTTAGTGCGGCTAATAATCCGGGCTGATGATCGGACACCACATCCGACTAATGATCAACAAAACCTGGCACAGATTTCTGATGTGCGTCCTGCTTACGAAAATTCCTAATAATAATTACATGTATCAGCTGAGCGAAATTCATACAAAAAATTCTTACCTTGTACATGTAATATCAACATTGATGCCGCTTCGCAAAATTTTTACTTTGTAATACCAACATTAACAAGCTACTTTGCGATCCCAAGATTCTGTTTTCATTATAAATTTCATATAAAGTTCGTGTCAATGGACAAAAATTCATATTTTGTGCTTTAGGCCCACGGAATTTGTATTAAATTAAGATTATAATTTTGATAATTATGTAATAGCCAAACTGTATAAAAAAGATAGCTTTTGAAAGTCTGAATGACAGGCAATGTGTGGTTTGAAGAAGAAATAAAAATTTCTTTTGTGCCATAACGAAATTGATAGCCTTTATTTCTTTGTGACAAAAAATTTCCGCGACATAGGGTAAATCGTCCTTGTACTGCTTCAGAGATACGATGAATGCCGAACTCTATGTTGGAATTTTTCAAGAACATATACAGGCAATGCTTGGTGACGAGTTTTGATGGCAATAAGACAATGATCCGAAGCACAGTAGCCATCTCGCCCAGGCATTTCTTGAAGAAAGTGTTCCCGAAGTTATCGAAAATCTATGGGCAATCGTTAAATGAAACGTCGAGAGGCGTATGTCAAAAAATCTCGGTGAATTAGAGTGATTTATGGTTGAGAAATGGAACGTAATGCCAAACTCGATGTTAAAATATTATGTAGATTCTATGAGAGATAGGTGTCAGAAGATGATAGAAAAAATGGAGAAACAATATCATACTACTTTTTTTTAATAAAACGTCTAATGCGTAGTAAAAATTTTACGTGGCTCGGCATGATTATTCTTCCGTAAATCGTGTGATTTCTAATTGCCATTTTTTCTGTCATACGCTGTAACAAAATCGAAGGTGATACTTTGATTGTGATTTTGTGATTTATCGTTATTGTTTTATATAAACCTATTTTTTGGTTGGTTTAAGTATTATGTTAGTAAACGTTGAGATTTATTTTGTTAAAATTATATTTTATTAGTAATTAGTTGTTTTGGGATCAAATATTATTGAATTTCTTTACTTTCGATTGCACAATCTCCGTGTAAGATTTGCACAGCACCTTTAGAACCATGGTAACATTCTACGTAAATCATTCAGACCTTTGCTACATGCTCAGTTCCTTAATCAGCCCAACTTTTGAATTGGTTGCAAAAATATGTTTTTTTTCAGCGTCTTTTTACATTTCTCGCGATAGCATTAAAAAATTTCTTCGTTTGGAACATACGACCTGATGCTTGCAGATTTGGGAAGTTAGCATTGATAACGATAGCAACTATTAAAAACTCATAACGGTAACATTAAATGTTTTCAGCAAACGAGTTAATTTTATCTCATATTTTAAATAATAATTTTGGAACCAAGATTGTAGACACATTTCATAGCGATAGATTAGAACCTTCATTTTTAATAAAATTCTTTTAGCTATATTTTCAATTTCTCATTCATCAGCCGCTTATTAGAATTCTGCTTCATTATTTTCACCGTAATTGTCAAACCATGATAAACTGTCGACTATCTCTATTAAATTTCCCGACTTTGTTACACAATTCATTATTTCTTTTTTAAACCTGTCCGTCCTTATTCCCAATTGTAAACATCTATTGTTTGCGCGTGCGTACCTAGCAACGGTGGTGATTAAATTTATAATTTTTTTACGCGCATCAGGTGTATCTGGTAGACCAATCTTATGAAGATAAGGTAATTGAGAATCGGAAAGTAATGTTTCGAGTTGAAATCCCGATAACTTGAATCCGAGATTGATTGAAGTGAGAAGAGATATTGAAGAGAGAGTTCGCTTGATTTTTAATAAGAATTCATCGCTAATCTTCTTGTCCGAGTAAGAAGAATGATAAAGCGATAAAGATTTTAAGAATCTACAATTTGAAATCAATTGAAATGCGGAATTCTCGCGAATCAAATCAGTTTGGATCGATAATTTCACGAGATTCGAAGCACAAAGTAAAAGTATTTCGTATTCTCTAATAGAACATGATTTCGGAAGAACAATCTCTTGGAGATGACAAATCGAAACAAGTTCAAAGAATGGCAGGAGATGAGAGCGTGTTGGATGGTTGCTTGTGTTTCGCGAAGATAAGAAGAATTTTTCCACTTTTAATCCAGAGTACAAGGACGCTTCATCAACATTTTGTTGTGTATCGTACTGGGAGCTTGGTAAATTTTTGCAATTGTATATCACCAACGCATTTAACCGCTTGAAGTTTTGAAATTTTTCGATTTCAAATATCGTGTTGAAGTCACATTGGTGAAATTCGAGTCTTGTTAGAGACCCTCGCTGGTCATATAACGCATCATAAAGAGACTGTTTCGCAAAAATAATCCGATAATTTCTGATGATAAGAGTTTGAAGTTGCGTCTGTTGCTGGATCAACTGGAGAAATTGTTTGATTAAGTCCGCACAAGTCACCTGTCGTCGAAATTCCAGATCAATCGAACTTAAATTCTTCAAGCTATTATTTTGAATTCCAAATGGGAAAAATTTCGAGGGAATATAATCGTGGTCTTTGATCTTCTTTATACCGTCAAAATTACTCGAGAATAATAAGTCTTTTGTTCTTAAGAAATTCAAAGAGATTGGGGCACTCTTCGGACTATTCAACAATAGGCTTGCAAGATTTGAAGAAGAAGAGATTAAACCTCGACATAACTGATCTATTATTTTCATAACATGTGGATCTTGTATGTGGCTCGATAGATATCTACCAGATCTAGTTGAAATCCGCGAATGCCATTTTGCAACGGTTAATGTTATATACCATGTATCCAATTCAGTAATGAATTGGCAGTACTTGAAAAGCGGTTCTCGAGAAGAAGACAGGGTCGTTGCTTTTGAATTTGTCGTTCTCGATGAGAAAAGTAAATTTAACACAGATTTCCGACGATTATCGTTTAATGATAAAATAATTGTTTCCACTAACGAGCTTTCAGATTTCTGATCATTTAATTGTCGTTTGAATGGTTGACTCCATAAATATGGAATAGTAAATTTACAAAATGTACGATCAACCAAAAGACATTTAAAAAGTGTTGGATTGTCATGGGAAAAATATTTGAATATTTCGCAAAGTGTTTCGGGTGGTAATAGGGAGCTCATTATTTTGGTCGTATTTAATACAGTAACGATAAATGATGTATCGTTACAAAAATTTTGTATCTACATGTATTATCTTGTAGATCGTAGTGGCGGCGATGCGTGTACAAATAAAAATCACTCCCGGCGTGAAGTTTCCCAATGAAATATTTTATTTCAACTTATAATGCAATTGTCGTATTTTTTTCGTTCAATCATTGTCGAAATCAAAATTTGACCGTTGATAATGTAATGAAATTGAGTTTACCAGTACAATAATATTCGAGAATTAAATATTCATTTCTTTTGGACCTTTTTCATTGGAGGAGCGTATAGCCAATTTTATATACATGTATGTACATGTATCTTATACTTCGAAATACATTTTTATCGGAAATTTAACTAAGCGAGTAAATTGTTTTGGATCGTTGATCAATACTAATACGTTAACATTGATTTTTTATTTTTAAACATTTTAAAGTCATAATTCTATAGCGATAGTTTACGTTTTCTTTTTAAATTCAGGATTTTCCCCTCGATACATGTATTACATGATACGTTAAATTTAGATGTTCTTAAAAATACATTAATAGATGAAAAATAGAAGACTCTTATTTACATCATATCATGCTTGAATAAATTTTTTTCAAGCGTTCATCTATAAATTAATATTCGTTATCGTTTTAACATTATTTCCAATTATTGTTTGTGGTTTTCCACATCAAATTCATTTTTTCCTGGTGCTCTTTTTTTGCTCTTTCGTTATTAATCCAATTCTGGATCGCTCTTCTAGTGGTTGCTGGTTTTGGAACCGAAATACGTCGCATCATCGTCGAAACAGAACCTTGTGACATTTTGCACGTGTTATTTGACAATAGAATAATTTCTCGTGCGATTTCTGATTGAGTACATCGTGGATTCTTTAGACGAGGTGCCGCATATTTTATAAATTCGTTAATTAATGTATTATCTTCGGCTGACAAGGGTTGAGGTGTGTATGTGTGTTTTGTAACCTCTTGAAACCAATTTGATGCATCTGAACTTTGATGTGGCAATCCATTCAAAAAGAAGCTATGAAGCGTTGCGTGCTGTCCGGACGTCGCCATGGACGATGCTGTGGTTGTTTTTGTTGGTGTTTTTAGATTTGTGTTTTGCGAATTTTCTGAAGGTGAATCGAGATGCGATGTTGATTCATTAACGTTAAATATATTGTGTGGATACGAAGGAAAATTACAAACAGTTGATGTGGTTGATTCAAAGGATTGCTGTCGTGGCGTTGGATAAGGATCGTATCGATGATTCATTTTATTTGTTAGAACACTGGATTCACTAGTCATTGACTCAGATTTTTTCTTCACGTCATTGTGTGATGCATTTTTCATTTTCGGTGACGTGTGGAATGAATTTTCCGAGATTGGTGATAATCGTGAATCGATTGATCTATTCGGTTCGTCTGTCTTATCTGTCATATGATCCCATTTCGGTAATTCGGGTGATTTTGAATTTAAACCATAATCTGATCTCAAATCGGGTGTAGTAAAATTGCTAGCTGGTGGTTCAAGTATACCTTTCTTGGATTCATTCGTTTTCGAATCGATCGTCGTTCCAATTATTGGTGAAATTTCTTCTAATTCTTTCGTCTTACTGGGCACTCTATTGCTTTGCAATTTTTCTGATCTTGAAGACTCACTTTTTTCCTCGCTATCATCGATATATTCTAAATCTGATAGCAGGATAATTTCTTTACTATTTCCCATCTCATTGCTTGAAGAGTCTTTATTATAATCAGAAGTACTATCATTAAACTCGTCTTCCGACTCGATTATTTGAGTTCGTATCTTTTTCACTAAATGACGACGATGCCGACGTAATTTTCTTCCTCGTTTTCTTACGGATGGAAGCGAAAAAGTAGCATGAGATTTATGAGAAGATAAGGTTTGAACTGATGACTTTTTTGAAGACGAAGTTGACGGTAGTCCGTATAATAATTCTTTGGGTAATTGAATGCACATGTCCTCTGGAAGAAGTTGACCAAGTTCCTCAACCTTTGTGGCAGCATTTCGAAGTGCTTTTCCGGCTTGTTTATATACGTCTCTGGCAATTTCATATGCTTCCAGCACCTAAAATTCGTGCATTGCATTCTATCATTATGTTGATTGAACACTACTTTTGTTCTCATAAAGTGTATCAAAAACATACCTCATGTGTCTTTGAAATTATTTCGGAACTCAGAATTTGCTCCGTATTGTTTCCTAATAGTGATGTGAAGTTCATTTTTATGAATACGTATTTTCGCCTAAAGCTTGATTACAAGATTATCAAATTAGCATAGGGGATAAGCTTTTAACTGAGGGAGAGTTGTTAAATTTTTAGGATATCAATTTGTCTTGGGAAATTGTACCGCGAAGAGAAAAATTTAATTAGAAACGCAACGGGAGCCAAAGGTTTTCTCTTTAAATGGGCTTTTTTCAATAAAAATGGTTCATTCAAAAGGCTTGGCGTTTTGTTATATTTATAACTACATTGCCAAAATAAAAATGATCGACCCATAAATATGATAAATACATGTACATGCACACTAAATACACAAACATCCATACCTAATTTCGTTCACTATCACAAATCGCTATACAGATATGTATTGTCTGTTCTATCGCTATGCTATGTTGTTATTTAGAAACAGTGGTCTTCTATCATTTAGTCATTTAACAGGACAGGGGATATGAAGTAAATATTATTATTGAGTATAATAAATGTGTTAAACAGGAGACATTGCTAGAACTATCTCATATATATATATATATATTTATTGAAGTTATATCGTTATTAATTACGTAGCGCATATCGATATGTTAATTCGAGCTTGTTAAAATCCCAAAATTAATATTTTTATTGAAGGCTAATTTTCTTTCCATAATAATGATGATAAGTTTAACCAATAACCAAATAACATGCAATTATTATTGAGTGGCTGTGTAACATAAATTTTTTTGAATCTTATTTTTAGCGTGTCAATAGGAATTCTAAATTTGGTTGTATGTGGCCCCGACCATTGTTAATAATGAACAATTAGCTCAATTAATTTTATTATTCATCATTTTACCTTTACCCGTTTCGTGGGATGGATTGGGATAAAATATCGCTTATCGTCCATCATCATGCGTACGAGTAGCGGAAGAAGGGCTTTATCTCAATCTCTTTATAGAAGCGAGAATAATTTCTAAGCAATAACAAAAATTTTAGAAAGCTTAGCGTTTTAGTTTATTCTCATTTAATGTGGCGTTTGATGTTCAGCTGCATATGTACATGTATATTGTTTATCTAATTTTAAATTGGTAAACCGTTTTCCCCAAGGTCCGTATTAATCAAATGAAAATAAAGTTTGTTACCAGATGTGATATTTAATGTATATATGAAAAAATATTTATCAAACAATTCACAAATCCAGAATATGGAGTGTGCTTCCTAAAACAAGATTCTGATACATGTGCATAGCACTGCACCTGTATTATAAATTGATTTTTGGTATATATTCAACTCATCATCATTTCGATGAAAGCTTGTCATGGGAAATATACCAAATTAAAAGATACCCGATTTAATTTATAAAAAGCAAAACAATGACGTTCGAAATCTTTTCACTGCCGTAAATTTCAACCTGTCCATTGTGACTTCCATAAAAAACAGATGGGACGCATAATTTAACGATACATGTAACAGCCACCACCATCATTGTTTCTCAATTTAAATGACCAAATCCAGATGAATATTTTCCTTATATAAAATGGTGCATTTCGGGTGTCAATCTGAAACCTATGTCTATCGTTATACATGATTTTCAAAGAGTATGAACAATAATCTACTATTTTTAATTACTTATGTTATTTGGTCATGAGAAATATCTAAACGATGCGGTACGATAATCTACTATTTTTAGCATTGACTAAAGTTGATGCGATCTTTTTAAAAAGCATATTATCGAAGCTTTTTCAATGATTGAAAATGACAAGATTAAATTTTCTTTAATTGATTCGGTGAAAAGAAGTGATAATTTATTTTGCATAACTTGCATGTATGCATACACGTATTTAAATTTTCTATGTTCATCTACGACGACTAATTGAGTAAAACCGATATTGGACAACAACATTAACTAAATTTGTGTGGAGTCACATAAAACTTGTTTATACCTGTAACAAGAAATGATGCAAGTACTTGATCCTGAGAACAATATCGACATATGATAATGTCCACATAGGTTAATAATGATTATGCCCTTTGACATATCAATATGTCTTTATCAATAGCAAGATGATTCCATTTGTCAAAAATGATTGATTGTCAAAAAAAACTATACATGCCTATTACTGTAAAGTACAAGTATATCGATAACATGTATCAGACAACGAATTCGACACATATTTCCTTGATGACCATTTGCATAGATATAATAACATTTGCCCCTGAGATTGATAATAATTTGAGCCATAATGAATACAGTCACACCTCTCTTTAAGAACAAATTTTTTTTCAAAACAAACTTATTTAAAGTATATTAAATCTCTCTATCTAACTATAAATTTTTATAAACCATGTTTACGTGTTCCGACCATGTTCTTATAGAGAGGTGCAACTGTTATTTGAAACTTTTCAGCTAGAGACTCATGTTCAAAAGAAGAATTTATTTTTATTGTACATGTGCTTGAAAAGTTATAATATTAAATTTTAAAATCTATTCTTGAGTCTCGCAATTTACTTATTAATATGTTAAAATTGCTTACTGATTTTCTTCCAAGTCCATTGGAACTGAAATAATTTTTCAGATAAGAGTTCTTACTTCACTCTCAATTTTCCCTTTCCAAATTCTGTATCTTCTCGCAAATCACTAATCTCCATATCTAATTGTGTTTCTTGATTCTCACATTTATAAATCAACAACAGCATTATTGAAACTGCCAAAAATACAAAAGAAGCCAATTCTAATTAATTGAACAACTTATCATCAGACAGAGATTTGCATCCTTGAAACTTTATTTCTCAAAATTTTGCATTATTTAAATAAACGAATCATGTTTTCTTATTATGAACATAATATTATCCCGAAGCTGAATTGTTCTTTTGATATAAATAATTTATCTCTTGAAACACTGAGTATAAGCTGCCTGAGCTTAGCCTGAGATTTAATCCTAATCTGCATGATCTCCGACTCAGTTAACAGTAGTACTCACAGTTCAGTTGCCACTTATGAAAACGTTTTACGAAAAATTCTAATGTTATCAGTATCGATTACCTGGTCTCTATACTCGTTTTAATGCTAATGACCCAGAGAAATTCTAAATAAAAATGGTACTACATGTATTTGTCATTCAAGTTGATCTATACCTGGTGACTCAGCAAATTAATGCAAAATTTTATTGAAATTACTATATAAATAGCTATGCTTATAGAGGAGAAAATTTTTGTTCTTATAGGGGTACGACTTTATTTTGTTTTCAAGAAAATTCTGAAGATGGATTAGCTTAATTAAATTACTTATAAGAACAGTTTTTCAAACACAAGAGTATATTTAAAATTTCTCTCTCTATAAGAACATAATTTTAAATTTTATTAAGAACCAAATTTTTTTGCCTCCTAACCATGTTCTTATAGAGAGGTGTGACTGTATTTGGAGCAAAAATTTTACTAATTTAAAGTATTCATATAGATCACTTTAATTTTCTAAGAATAACATATTTTGGTTTTAAAAGTGATCTCATAATTGAGCCTAGTGATTGGACCCGCCCCAAAAAGCAATCCGGGTAAATAATTGCCCATTAAATCCAAGTTGGCATGCTTCAAATCATATGATTGGTTGAATTATCGTGGTTTACAAATATATAATCGTTTTCTTTGCGCAAATATAATTTCTAACAATCTGGCGAGTTGACATCCATAGTAGAGATTGCATCCGGGTCGTGTATAGGAATGGTATGGTTCTATAGAACCAATTGAAACCGGTTCAACTAGATTCAGCTAATTTAACACATAGAACCCGCACAAGCTGGAATCGGTTCAAACCGTTGAACTGGTTCCAGTTCTATGTAATTTATATACAAATAGTACGGTTTTAACTGGAAACGAACCGACCCGACCCATCCCTAGTCAGGTATCACCGGACCCGGATGGGTCGAATGGATAACCGAGAAGTTGTCATAACCACCCGGGTGGAATGTGGATGGGTCGTCAACCAAAAACGCATCACGTAAAATTACGTAGATCTTTGGTAACAAAATTTTTATGATCGACGTAAATACTCTAATGGTACACTCACTGTTGGAATCGGGGGTGATCGACATAAATAAAGGGGTGAGTTGCATCGTTATTTGTGCAACACACAGACGTCCAATTTT